TGAGTCCTCAAAAGTGTGTGTAATGATTAGATGATTAAGCAAGTTTTCAAGGTTTTTTTACTACAATTTTTTTGGAGAGTCAAGAACGCACAAGAACAATGAAGTAGTGCATCATGCTAAGCATAAAGCTTAATAACATTACTAGTTAAAATGAGTACAATTGGGTGCCTCATGAAAACTTAGAAGTAAATACAACGGAAAAACTAGTCTAAGGTATCAAGTAAGCATAAAAAGGTAGGTCGTACTGGGCGAGATTGGGTAATGCAGGTCAGGATTAGTGTTTTGAGTTGCATAAGTGTTGTGTAAGTTTGGCAGAGTGTCAAGAGTCCCTCAGTAATGTGCTCATTGTCTATTCATAAAACAATGGTGGTGGCTAACTTCTTTCACATTTAAGTTCGGTGCCACCAAGAGCTACTAACAATTCACACCTTCATATTTCCATGGGTGTTTCGTCATGTGGAGTACTGCATGTGAGTACGCCGAGCATTTTGGAAAATGGGGTGGGTGTGAGTGGACTTCATCAAAACCTCTTTTAAACATGTCATTCCACTTATTTATATTGGGTCGAATAGGCTACGTCCACTTTTTATTGGTCTGAGCCTTGGTGAACTTTCTTATTTTGGCTCGGTGTGTCAATTTTTGGTTCAAACAATTATCTATCCTTCTTTTTTTATATGACTATTTGATTTGGGGTTAAGTTCACAGCATTGTCGAACCCAATTAAAAATAACTCTCTCAATTATGTTATTGATATTCATATGAATTAAAACTCAATGATCAAACTTAAGACCTCATGCTTCAGCAATTATATCTCTTTTTATTTTTTTTAAAAATTAAAATTTTGAAATTCATAGATTGTCAATTTCAAAATATCCATTCCCATTTTTTTATTTTAGATCCCACATTCATCTTTTTCTTTGGTAATACATTCATCTTTTTTTTTATTAAGAGGCTTTTATTATTTTTATTCTCATTTACTTACTTTGTCATGATTTTAAAAATTTATTATATTATATTTCAAAATATTTACTAGATAAAAATTTCAAAAAAGAAAGTCATATGGGTAAGTGAGATAGATTCTGTAAATCTACAATATCTATCATATGGGTAAGCGAGATAGATTCTGTAAATCTACAATATCTATCAATGGTATATTATTAATTTTAAATATTCATTCCCATTTTTTTTATTATAAATTCCACATTCACCTTTTTACAATGAGGCTTTTATTATTTTTATTCTCTTTTATTATATCATATTTTAAAATTTTGTTATATTATATTTTTTAAAATTTACTATTTAAAAATTAAAAAAAGTCATAAGGGTAACTCAGATAGGTATTATAAATTTATAATGCTTATCTAACGCAAAATACTATAATATATAGATAGATTTTTTTTCCTGGTAATCATATAGATAGATTTTATTAAAAGTAAAATATCTTTTTAATTAAAAAATAAATAAATAAGTCGGACTGCACTGCAGACAAATGGTTACTTAATATTATAGATTAGACGCCCGAGCTCTATTCTTGGGCAATGCACTGGAACACTGGATGTTTCAGTCGTTAAAATATTAAAAAAATAAATATAAAAGCTAAAAATTTTTTAAAGTACTTATATTTTATTATTTTATGTAAATTAAAATTAAATGATAATTTATTCTATGTTAAAGCTTGTTATGCCTATACATGTTAAAAATATAAATAATAAATTATTTTATTTTAAAATGTATTGGTCCAAGTAAATTAGAATTTAATAAATAATTTCTATTTTTCAAATATGAATAAGCATACCTCAAAGCAGCAAAATGTAGCATGTTTATCGTCAAAAATTAAAGCATTTTATTCAAAATTCAAAAATATCGATCTATTTATTTTTTTAATTTAGTATCTGTATGTCAGTTTGAATTTAATTATTTATTATATTTTATTCTGAACTTGAAATTGAAGATTTATTTAACAATTTAAGGACTTAAGGTTTGCATACATGGATAACTGTCTAATGATAAAAAAATTTAAATTTATTCAAGAAAATCTTAACAAAAGCATCTTCAACATTCAGAATTAACGATATAAATTTTATATTACTTTAATGCCTAATTTTAATAATTTTACAATCTGGTAATTGTACTTTCATTTAAATTGTTAATTTATGTAACCATAAGACGTTTAAATCCAGTTGATTGTTAATCTTCATTAAATTACATTTAAAAACATGTATACCTTTAAAATAAGAAAAACAGTTAATATATACCATATGATATCAAAAAAAAAAAAATTATACTCCCTTCCTTAAAAAATGTAAGGCATTTTTAACCGAATCTCACCTCCTAATAAAATAGTTACCTACTTTCCAACTAAACCTATTTTTTTCATGTTTATCTCTATTAAACACCCTATAATAAATATAAAGTCATTATTAATAAGGGTATTTTTTAAAAAAGATAATAATTACACACGAAAAGATTAAAAATGCTTTATATTTTTTAGCATCTAACTCTTTAAAAAATATTTTATATTTTTGAATAGAAGGAGTATGATATTTGATTTGAAGTTTGATTTTGTGAGATACATTAGCAACTCATTTAACTTAAAATTATATTATATTTAAGATTAAATTTTCCTTCTGTGAAGTAAAGATAGATTTGCAATCTTTGGCCATAAGAAAAGGATAGATTTGCGATCATTTAACTTCTAGAAGATCCAATTTTTTTCGTCGATTAGAAGATTTTGTTTTTATCTGGTTTTATAGATGTATTGCTAATGGAAATAACAATAAAATTGAAGCATGCAAGAGGTGAAAAGGTTTTAATTTAATTTATGCGGTTGCTTTAGTCTTCATCCGGTCTTTCGAGTGAATTTAATATTATTAGTATTTCAATTTCAATATAGAATAAAGGAAAATAAAAATTAAAAAATCATTGAAAATTATTTTAAAAAATGAAAAAAAAAGTATCAATCAAGGATTGTTGGAATAAATTTATATCAATTAAAGACTAATAAATTTTGAATTTTCACCGCAATCCTTTGGTCTTCAAATGAAATTAATTTTTCACGTGAAATGATTGAATTGTCCATGAAATTTAAAAAAGGGTTAAAATCAATATTTATCCCTGAACTTTTTTTCGAGAAACATTGGGCACCTGTACTAATAAATGAAATAATTTTACCCCTAAACTATTTTTTCAAGAAATAAAAAACTCCTTCTGACTTCTGTTAAACAACCATTAACTTTGCTCTTTTCGATAGATGTGGCATGTGCGTGGAACCCATGCACGGTAACAG